CGCGTTGTCCATGCTTTATGATCCCGTAATCACTTAAAAGCTTAAAGCCCTTCACATTTACGCTCAAAATTATTATATCCATAACTTTGGTTGTGAATTGTGATTGATAATTTTTGATGCAGTAAAAAGTATCGTTTAGGAAATTTCCGAAATACTACAACGTTGTCGTCATTGTCAAATAAAATCCATACTTTTTTTTTACAGTACAGGTTTTAGACCCAAAATATTGAAGAGGTAGAGAAATTGAAACATAATGATGATTTTTTAAATTTCCTCGAACAAAAGGCTAAAATGCTTTCAATGGAATTAAACAAGAATTGAACATGAAATGATCAAGGGAACACTACGGCCCCGATTTTGAAGCGAAGAAAAAATTTCAAATCACTTATAAACTTATAAATTTTATAATGGTTGGATAGTTCCATTACCATCCTTTAAAAACCTTAATAACATTCCGTATTCTGGTTCCCTTTTTTAAAAAGCTTAATTACTCCTCTGCTCCATTTGTCCATACTCCATTGTCCAACTTCATGTGTGCCGACAAATTGCTTATGCTTCAATAAAATAATAAGTACATAATATCGTAAAGCATAACAGTCGTTGTCAAGGGACGAATAATATAAGAGGTTGTTTCAAAAAAAAATCATGCGGAAGGAATTTGAGAGATTGAGTGTAAATGTCTGAATATTTTTGGGGGGGGCAACATTCCGGGACTTAACAATCCGAAAGACCCGATACAAAACTACATTTCTGAATTTTTTTCAGCATCCTTCATAGAATTAGATGCGGCATTTATTTACGGAATATGATTTCTCTAAATTGGTTGAGTTATCTGGATTCTGGAAGTTTAATTTGTGGGGAATTTTAAATATATACTTTTTATAAAAATCGACTTTTTTACAAACATGTTCAAATCATATAATTACTATTATAATGATAATAGTAATTTTTTCTTTTTTATACGTTTACTGTGGTATTTCAAATCGACTATTTACATAGCATAGATCATTTCCTGGGTGGGCGTAAAAAAATATGAAGCGTTCAAGATGAACTCGTTGGAATAAATTAAATTTTGGAATCCCTTGCCTGTTTTAAGACTCCTGTTACAATTTTAAAATAAGACTAAGCTAGTCCCGGGCTTACCCCAAATTTTCTTTTTTTTTCCCGGAAAGTCTGTACTTGTAGTCAAGGGAAACTGATAAGCAAACTAAAACGCTCTTTAAAAGTGACCCGTCATTTATTATCGCAAAAAAAGTATACATATGCGGTTAACAAAAGTAATCTGAATTTCTGAATCATCACCTGAGCAGAGCTTTACACATTGACTTTCAGCCACGCACGTGGTAACCACGTGGTTGTCATGGTGACCAATCGCTGATGTTTCAGTGTCCCGTGACCAGTGGGGAGGATTTCAGGTAACCCAAAGGAGTTCTAATATTTTTATTTCCCTCTTTGAAAACCACCCAAAAAAGCTCCAGGCTTATTATTTTTATTGTTAGGAAGATGAGGCTAATTGTTAGGTTGGAACAGTACGTTACTTTTTATGATTAAGTTACGCTTTATAAATTTATAATTAACTTATTAAAGTTATAATGCCATAAATTTTCGTCTCTCGCGATGAAATTTTTGTCAAATTTTGAAGAAAAATCTATTTTTAATCCTGCAGCGTGTTTTTTGCGTCACCGGAATTAGCTTTTTTCGCCAAATACCCCGAAAAGTAATAAGTATTTTTATTGGTCTTTGTAAAATGGGGTAATTTGTAGATAAATATGTTCGTTGTGTAAGTTGTAAGTGGTTATATATGGTTGTATATTAGTTAAAATGCATTTGAAGTCTCTTTTCATTTGTTTATCAAAAGTTTGCCAAAAATTGAATCAGCAAGTGGCCAAAATCAGTTTTTGGTCAATAAATCCAAAATTTGGCATTTTTGGCTTTAAAGTTAAATGTAACTTACCACCCCCCTTTCTCTGAGTTTGTTAAAGATGAAATGCTGCCTGCACCTCGTACACTTTTTATACGCTGGTTTGGCTGTAGCAGGTCCAGTTCTTTCGTTTTGTCGCTCCACTTTGGCCAAATGATCGTCCGCCGTCATCCTCCGATTAAAACAACCAAGAAAACCCCCTTTAACAAAACTTAGGAACACTTGGATCAAGATTCAAAACCAAGACTCGTTTACCGAGGAGGGGAAAGAGCAAGAAAAGGTAAGGCGTTTCAAATGTGTTCAACCGAAAAAATAGGAAATTTTTGGCATGATTAAATAGACGTGACTGTAACTGATCCCGTGACGATTGTTACTAGCATTTCTACCAGGAATTGTTAATTAATTGTTTTAAGTTAGCAGCGTTTAATTGGGCTGACACCGGGACACTGCTAATTGGCAGCTTGATTGGTATTCGAATAGTTAAACATTCGCCGTGTGATTGTGATCAAAAAAGTTCACTTAAGATGTCAGGCAGCAATCACCCGAGGGCCACAGCAGTGGGTGGGCAAAAGATTACACAGTTATCCCCGTTTTTATCTCTAAGTGGGGTGCCGGGTGGTCATAAGATTTTATATCATTTGAAATTTTCAGCCTTATGTTCACATATTGGCGTTTAAAAACTTGAATTTGAAAGGGTAAAAAATTTTGGGCTTGTGACTGAAAAGGACCTTTTAAGCGTACTTTGAGTGCAAAACAGTGACCTTTAAGCTAAACCCCTGACTATGTACGGAACTCAACCCGAATTTCTAAACCCAAACCTTAGTAACAACATTAGTTTTATAACCTGAATCTTAAGCTTGATCCCTGTTCGATTTTAGATTTTTACCATCGATAATTTGTTTTTTTTTGCGTCAAACCCTGATTAAATAAACACGAAATCTTAAAATTGAGTTAAAGGTTCCTTTCAGGTGCGCATCTGATCCCTGAAATCAAAAATTAAAATGATTTCCTCGTATCACCACATTGCTGTTTCACACTTAGAAACACTGTGGACAGTTGTAGAGTAGTCGAGCAAGTAGATAAAATGCTATCTAATAGCCATTTTTGGAGCCAAAAATTTGTTTTTGTTTTTAAGGGAAGAATTAGTTAGGGAATTGAGAATATTTTCTGGGAACTAATTTGCTACAAGCATTCCTGTGCAGGAATCTGAAATTATCCACCCAAAGAGTTGTAAAGGTAAGATCTGATGGGCCCACAATTCAATTTCTTGAGTTTTATTTTCTCCAGGCGCCTAAAAAAACAACTTTAAAAAATATATTTTTTCCCCAATAGGAAAGGGCACTCAGCTCAATAGGTGGTGGAAAAACTGCCGCTAGGGGACATGGTCATATTATTATTAGGGCAAGCTCGCCAATTTTTAACCGACCTAAAAATTTATTAAAAGTCTGCTTATACCTCCCTTTTCCCAACGAATATTAGGAAAATGGGACCAAAAAAAAAATCAACGATTTTCAATTTTGTTCCAAAAAAAATTAAGATATCTCGATTCGCGGATGGTCTGAGCATTTTCAAAACCATCATTCGCCTGCCATAATATGACCATAGCGGATGCATTTTGCACCCCCTAGCGAGCTCCTGAGTGCCTTCCTAATGGAATACACTTACCTGGGGACCCCAGGCTATATAATAATGTCCATAAACACGATCTAGGATTCGGGCGGAAATGACAGGCTGAGCGCCGCCCAGTAAGGAATATACATTTTGAACGTTTGTTTCGTGTACTACGCCTGGAAAAAAATAGGTTTAGTGTTCTACTTCTTATAGCTAGTTGTGCCCATCAGATCTGCTTTAATAACTTTTTTGAGTGCAAGTGGTTCCTTGATAAAGATAATAAAGCCCTGCACAGAAATGATTGTGGCAAATTAGTTCCCATGTGGTTTTTTATTTATTTTTTTTTATCCCTAACTGAATCAGATGGCTCTCTAACAGTTGGCTATAAATACTCAGCGCTTACTTGTGTTTCGTTTGGCTATGAGCCGGCCCGTTAGAGCAGAGGGCGGGAGGATTATTTTTAAAAACAAAGCCCCGTCCGGGTGGGTGGGAAGGAACTGGTTACTCTGTTACTGTGTTAGATGTTACGGTATAATAGCCAATGGCTGTTCCACAAATTAATTCACATGCCAAGGACTTAACAATATATTAATCATCATGTCTAGTTATGAGCTAATATTATTTTGTTTTATGATTATTTTTGATTATTATTTTTTGAAGAAAAATTTTTTTTTCATAAAACAAAACGTTTTCAAAGCCATTATGCCTATAAATGTCATCGGGTTTTTTTCAATAAATCGTCGCCCCACCCAAACTCCCGAAACATGAACAAGCAACAAAAAAATTTAAAAATTGAGATCACCTCATTAAATTTAAAGCAAAAAATTACCCAGAAGTCAAAAATTACCTTTCCTCTTTAAGTTTAAGAAATCTTGAGTTTCCACGTAGCAAGACTAGGGACGGCGAGCCAAAAGATAAACTGAAAATCAAAGTATGGGCATTATACGGGAGTAGCTGGTGACGTGAACATGCTTGGAAAAAGTTTGCACCATGTCAATTGTAATAGGGTATCTGGCGGATGTATTGTATGAGCTACTCGTGCAAAAAACCATTTTTT